GCGATGGAGGAAGGGCGAACGGCGCGGAGTCACCGCGAGGGCAGCGAAAGCGCGGCGGCGCCGGTATCGCCGTCGGCGAAGGCGGGGCGGAGATGGCAGTTGCGGTCGAGGACGCGCGGGGGGGGAGGGAGCTACCGGCTCATCCATGAAGAGGACCGCGGGGCGGGCCACGAGCTCGACGCCGATGTTGACCCGCTTGCGCTGCCCGCCGCTCACGCCCCGCTTCTCCGCGTCGCCGACCAGGCAGTTGCGCACCTTGTCAAGCCCAAGCACCTTGATGACCGTCTCGATCTCATCCATCTTCTCGATCTTGGACATAGAGGCGGGGAGGCGCGCGAACGCGCTGTAGTAGAGGTTGTCGTAGACCGTCAGGTTGGGGTGCACCTGGGGTCAGGGTCAAGGGCACGCGTACCGTGGCTGCAGGCAGACATGCAGCCAGGCAGCTAAGCGAGCAAGCAGAGCGAGCCGGCATGGCAGAGGGCTGTTGTGAGGGCCAGGGCGGGGGTTTGGTGCGAACGCACCGTGTCATCTTGCGGCACGAAGCCGATGAGCGAATCGAGTCCGGCGAGCCCGTCCACCTTGCCGTTGACGCGCACGGTGCCCGTCACCTTGCCATACCTGGTCAGGTCAGGTCAGGTCAACTTCTCCACACACACAAGGCGGAGGGGCGGAGGAGGAGGGGCAACCCTCGCGACTCCTAAGACACAGGAGCCCCACGGCATTAACAGTGCTAGGCCCAGTGCGCGTGGGCGAGCGGTGTGATGTGTGTGTGTGTGTGTGTGTGTGTGTGCGCGCGCGCAGACCGGGCTTTGTTGCAGAGGGCGTTCATGAACGTGGTCTTGCCGCAGCCGGACGGCCCCATCAGTGCGCACAGCGACTTCGGCGGGAAGCAGCCGTTGATGTTTTGGATAATGTTCTTCTTGCCCTTGGTCTTGAGCTGCAAGCCCACGTTCTCGAACTCGATGCACACTCGCTCTTGGCCCTGTGGGAGCCTCACACCTTGGAAGGTGAGCGGTTCGGCGTGCCGCGCCGACGCCTGCACCGAGTCCTTGAGCCTCTTGGCCTTGCGGTACCGCATGAAGAGCCAGAAAAGGAGGACGAGGACGACGTAGACGAGGAGCATCGAGAGCCCCGCCGCGCCGGCGCCCATCGCGTCCGCCTTGCACTTGCGGGCGACGGGGCAGTCGAGCGGCGCAACCATGCCCTCGGGGCACCAGTCGCCGCCCTCCTTGCCCACGTCGCACTCCTTCAGGGTGTCGTACGCGCCGTTTGTGAGCGGACAGTAGTTTCCCAAGCTGCAGGTGGTCGCCTCCTTGTCCTGGATGACCGAGCCAGGCCCGCCGTAGTAGCGGCCGTCGCCGGCGAGGATGCGCTCGCTCGCGTTGGTGTTTTTGGTGCACGTTCCAAGCAGCTCTCCAGAGGGCAGGAGAAACTCGTCGGGCCCGCACGATTCCTTGGTGGTGAACACAGTCATATGCAAGAGGGCCGCACCTACTCGCAGCGAACGCAGCTTGAGGCGGGCGTGCGTCAGCAGCATAAAATGGAACGAGCAGGGCGCGGGCTCGATTTGGGGGGCGCGGGGAGGCAGTAGGCATGGAAGCGACCCGCGGCCGCGCATTCAGGAGCGCTCCGACCGCGGTCTGATGTGCCAGATTCGCGTCGCTCGCTCCTCGGAGCTCGAGCCGCTCGCGCGGAGGTCGCAGCACGGCGTTTTATCCGGGCTCGCTGCAGAGGTGGTTGTGGGGCGAGGCGGGGCCGGGGAGCTCTCATCTCGCGTCGCGTCGCGCCGGGCGACGGGCGAGAGGCAAACGAGGCGGTACTGCAAGCAAAGCGGGATATGCAATCAAACCACGGTTCGGTTTCGTTCTTGTCTTGTCGTGCATGTCACAAACACTTGTTTGGTATTGAGGTATTGCTAAAAATCTCTCTCTGCATGTCTGCTGTGAGAGAGGCTGTTGGAGAGGAAGGAAGAGGGGAGCGCCGATTGAATTCTTTTTGCCTCAAACCACGCCGGACCCCCGCCGGCGGCCGACGAGGCGCTGAAAAGGGAGCGCGCGGAGGATCCCCCCCCCCCACCCCACCCCCTTCTTCGGGCCTTTCGTTCCGGGGGGGCCTCGATCCGGGGCCCTCGATCCGGGCCCTTTCTTCCGGGCTCGCCGCTCTTATCATAAAATTCTTTTTCTCGCGATCGTCTCTCGTGTGTGTGTGAGATAGAGCCGCATCGTAATATACACAAAGAAAGATGAAGACTCACTCTCTCACGTGAGCATCCTTGTACGTTCCGGCCGGGAGCTGTCGCACCCGCCCTGAGCCGTTCGTGAGCCTGACGTCGCCTTCGAAGACGACACCGCTCGCCAGGGTAAACGGGCCCTCGATGGTGAGTCTCGTGCACCGCAGCAGCGAAGGCGCGCCGTCTGGGATGAGCGCGTCGAGGCTATCGGAGGATGAGTACGAGGCGTCCAGCAGGACGAGAGGCGGCACGCCTTCTCGCTCAGGTGCGAGTACGACGCGGCCTCCGGCAGCCTCGTACGCATCCGACCGGAGCGCTAGTAAGTCGCCCATCGTGCGTACAGGCGCGAACCGCGAGCACGGCACGAGAATCGCAGCCGCCTCGGCGCCGAACAACTCCAGCACCGCCCCCACAGTGGCCTCGAGCTCGTAGACCGGTGTTGAGGTCTCGTCGTGTGGGTCGACCGTCGTCAGATTAGGCGCCACACTCAACGATATATCTCCTTGCTTGAGCTTCGCTAGCTTCCTGTGCAGCGCCCGCAGGTCGAGCCAGAGGTTATCCGTAGCGCGGAAACGGTGGCGTGACACGTCATCGAAATGGTGCTGATCATTCTCTGGGCATTGCGCCGACGCTCGAAGCAGCAGGCCGCTCGTCGCAGTTCGTCGTGCGAGATGGGCGCCCTCCCTCTCAGAGTCCGTGCGCCGCGCAACCTCCAGTAGCAGCGGCTCGCCCCGATGAGCAAAATTGGCGCCGTGGCTGGATTCACTAGGCGACGGACTCACCGACCGGGGGCCTCGCTGCGCCGGCGGTGCTGGGGCAGAAGAGCGTCAGCTGGAGCGTGTACGCAGGCCGGGAGGAGAGCGGCGGCGCGGGAGGCATTGCGGGGGGCGCCGACAGCACAGGCGCGACTGCAGGGGTGGGCAGCGGGCTGGTTGGCGAGGAGGGCGAGGAGGACGAGGCGGACGACTCGGACGTGGAGGTGGTCGAGTATGCGGACCTCAAGCCCAGGCCACGCCGCTCGCTCGTACGGCAGCAGTCGCTCGGTGGCGGCGGTGGCGGCGGCGGTGGCTCCTCATCTGACGACGACGACGAGGAGGAGGAGGAGGGCACGCTTTTTGTGTCTGAGGACCCGTCGAGCGGCGAGCAGCTTCGCGGCCCCTTCTACCCCGTGTCGGGGACGCATTCATGATGTGTCCACGACGCGTCCGGCTAGGCGAGCAGCTCGCGGCCGTACCCCCGTGGCGCGGAGCCATCTACCCGCCCACCGACGCGCCGGCCATGGACGCGACGCCGCCGCCCGAGAGCTTGCGGCTGAGTTGGGTGTACGGCTTCCGCGGCTATGACACGCGTCGCACCGCCCTCTGGTCATCGGCCGACGATGGCTTCGTCGTGTACACCGCCGCGGCGCTCGTCGTCAGGTACAATTGCGACAAGCACGCGCAGGCGTGCAATCACGGGTAGCCTCGGGAAACCTCGGGTGGTGTACAACTGAGACAAGCACAACGCAGGCGCACTTCAAGGAGCACACCGACGATGTCCTCGGCCTTACCGTTCACCGCGGCCGCGGTCTCGTCGCGTCGGCGCAAAAGTCGTTCCGCGAGGGCGCGACTAGCCGAGTCTAGCCGAGACTAGCCGAGAATAGCCGAGAATAGCCAAGAGTAGCCCCGCGAGGGCGGCCGGTGCGCAAGCCGACCATCTCACACACTCCGTTTGTTCTTAGGCGGCCGGATGCGCAAGCCGACCATCTGGGTGTGGGACGCGCGTAGCCTTGAGGTGGTGGAAAGGTCCATCGTCTTTACGGGGTGCAACCTCGGGTCATGTCGGGTCGTTTCGGCTCAGGTGCTCAAGGGGCCACTCGTCTTCACGGGCTGCAACCAGCGATGGGTGTCGCAGCTCGCATTCACCCCGTCGGGCGACACGCTCTGCTCGGTGGGTGCCGACGACGACCACCTCCTCGTCCTGTGGGACTGGCAGACAGGCGTCGCCCGATGCCACGTGCTGACGCACAAGGAGCGCATCTTTGGCGCGCGCTGTGCGCCGGCGCCGAGTGCGGCCGGCCCGAGCTCCGCGACGAGGCGAGCTCAGCCGAGATGCGCCGAGATCAGCCGAGATTCGGGCTCAAGCCCACGACGCTCCTCGCGCGGCTGCGGCACCGAAATCGCCCGAGATCGGGCGAGATCAGGCCCGAGCTTTCGCCTAGCCGAGCCTGCCGCCGCGCAGGCGCTCCTCGGACAGCTCCGCCTCGAGCTTTTCTTCCGCGAGCCTGCGCAACACGCGCGCGAAGCACGGCGAGGCGGTGCGCACAAGGCCTCCTCGGAACATCCGGACGGACCCTCGTAGGCACACACTCTCACGGCACGACGATGAGCCCGCGCGGCTGGTGCTCGTGGGGAAGGGCTTTGCGCGCGTCTACCGCACCGAGCTGCTGCCCGACAGCCACGGCACGCGGCTAGCGCTGCCTGGCCGCGAGCGCGCGGCTGCCCTCCTCTCGGTCGGATTCGGGCAGGTTGATCTTGGCCAAAACTCGGACCAAATCTAGGGGTGATCACGGGCCTTCGGGTGCCAGCGCTCCACCCCCCGCCGCCGGGCTTTGTGCAGGAGGGCGAGTGCGTCGTCGGCTCTGCCACGGGCGCGCTGCACGCCTTCGAGCTCGAGACAGGCAGGCTGGTCACTTCGGTCAAGGGCGCCCACGCCGGGCCTGTTCACGTCGTGGCCGAGGGGCCAGGCGGCCGCCTGCCCTCGTGCAGCAGTCAAACCCTAGCCCTGCCCTTGAATCTGATCCTGACCAAATCCCAGGCGGCCGCCTGCTCTCGTGCGGGAAGGATGGCGCCGTCCGACTCTGGTCGCGCGCGCTTGAGCCCATCCTCGAGCGAGCCGCCGCCCCGAGGAAACCGGGCATGAGCGAGCCGCGCCTCCGCTCACAGCTCCCTGGCCGCGAGCAGGCATCCGCTCCTCGACGGCATCGCCCGCGGCCTCGCGCTGCTGGCGCCGCAGGCGAGATCTAGCCGAGACCTAGCCGATGCGAGATGTGCGTCATGCATTGTGTATCGCTTCCGCAAGCCTTTCCCCTCCCCAAAGGCGCTGCTCTCGCACCTCTCAATAGCGCCCCTCACACCTTCATATCCCCCCCCCCTCCCTCCCCAAGCCTCGGCTGCGCGCGTGCGACTGGTCGAGCGACCACGGCCTGCTGCTCGGCACGTGGGCCTCCGAGCTCCTGCTCGTTCCGAGTCCGAACGTGGGCGGCGAGCCGCGCGTGATTGCGAGCGGGCACGCGCAGGCGGCCAGCTGCACCCGCTCGGCCGATCTCGGATCTCGGCCGATCTCGGCGGACCTATAAGCCGATCTCGACGGACTTCGGCGGATCTCGGCGGATCACGGCTAGCCTCTCCCCGCAGGCTGCCTGCTGTGCCCGCTCGGCCGCGCCGCCGACGGCTGTCGACTGCGAGGCGGAGGGCGAGGTGGGGGGTGCGGTGCGCGCGCTCGCCACGCCGCCAGAGGAGTTTGCGCTCGGGCTGGCCGTGTCAAGCGGCGACGATCGCATGCTGAGGGTGTGGGACCTGAAGCGCGGCGCGTCCGTGCTGTCGCAGCCGGCCGAGGCACATCTCCCTCCCTCCCTCCCTCCCTCCCTCCCTCGCTCCCTCCCTCCCTCCCTGGGATTGTACTTCTGTGCGTCCGGGTTCGACATGCGCTCAGCACCAGCGGCGGCGGCTTCGGCGGCCATCTCTTCGCGACGTCCGTCGTACCCCGTTTTCGGCGTTTCGCCCTCACCGTCTCGGATTCGCGTGGGATCGAACCACTCGGGATGAGAGGGCTCATCAATTCGCACATTCAGTCGTTGCGTCGTCTGCGCTGGGGGCTGTGCCTAGTCTCCCCCCCTTTCCCCACCCCCTAACAGTGTTTCTCATCTGCGGGGGGGCAGCTAGAGCTGTCAAACGTTAACTTTGGGCCTAACAGTTGCACTATTGTTGGCTGAAATCCTCAACGTTGTTCAAGTGTTCTCCCCAGCCCAGGCTGTTACTGTTTGTTACTGTTGTTACTGTTGTTCAGTGGTCAGCAAGCAGAAAATGCCAAAACCCGGGTAATACCCGAAAATACCTGGGTTTTTCCAGGTATTTTCGGGTATTACCCGCACTGGACGCTGGAGATCGTCGTGGGTCACTGCCAGGCCTTCCTTATTGTTGTTCAGCTGGCCTAACGTTAGCTACTGTTGTTGGGGAGCCCCACTGTTGTTCTGTTGT